TTTTTTTTTCTTATTCTCAATAAAATAAAAAAAAAGTATCAGCCCATTGTAATTACAACCTGAATAAAGACAAACTAAAGCTTCATTTTAAGTCAAACATGGTGGTACACACTGTTAATCTTAACATGGAAAAGTAGGCAGATTTGTGAGTTCAAAACAAGCCAAGACTAAAAGTAAGATCCTACCTCAACATTTTTTACAATTTGGTGGATTAGCATAAATTCACAACTTTTGAACTACAAACCTTAATCCTCTAGCTGCATGCATTTAAGGAATTACTGGGTGCAGTGGCTCATGCCTTTAATCCTAGCACTTCAGAGGTAGAGGTGGGCAGATCTCTTGAGTTCAAGGCCAGCCTGGTTTACATAGTTCCAGGACAGCCAGAGCTGTATAGTGAGACCCTGTCCTTCCCGCCCCCCCCAAAAAAAAAACTTTAACTTTGAGTCAATACCTAAATCTTTTCAAGGTCACATCCCACTAAAACATATGAGACATGGAAAGGTTGGCTTCAACTATAGTGTGTATACATATTTACATATATATATCATATGAAATATAATACAAGCCAGGCGAAAGTCAGCACAGCAGTGTTTCTCCTTGAGTGATGATTCAGGACTGGTTTTTACACTCTCCTTTAACCCAAATGATTGAAAATGATTAATTTTCAAACAGTTGTACATTATTTCCATTTGGGGAAATAAACAATCTGCACACAATGTTTGAAACTTCAAATACTAAAATTTTATTCATAATCACTTCATTGCCACATGATTTACCTGAAACAAAGTTTGCACTGTATGTACCAATTATTGGGTGTTAAAGGACACTGGGCTCGGGGTTCCTGGCAGCCTCCACATTAGAACAACATAAGCATGTGTACCAGTGATGAACCAGCCCAACTTCATTTTAAGTATGGAAGCCATTTTGTTACAAGGTAAGAATAAGTTTATAAGAATAAGTTTGTTTGCTGCAGAATTCAAGCTTGACCGTGCTTTAACCTGTTTCTGGAATTTGACATGCTCCCTACTCTATGGAGTTTGACTCACACCTTGAATGTACCCTGATAAGATGTTCTACCAAATAATTTTTGAAATGTTCAGCTAAATTCCTATGTAACCAACATTCCTCTGGAAATCCCCCAATCCTGGAAAACCATGTAGTCTTGCAGTTTTTGAACTTTATAAACCCTTCCCTGTGTTTGATGCTATTTTCTTTAAACCCCCACTTTAGGGAGATAGCTCTGCCTCACAGAAAATAAAGCTTGAATAATTTGACCAAAGAATTCGGGTAACGGTCCTTACTCTTGTTTGGTGGGATTAACACCAGGGTTTGGCAGAGGGCCGGGCAGGTAGATTTGACTTTTTCTTGAGAACTGATGGTTACTGGGCTTATGTTCTCATATGGCCAGATGCAGAGAGGTCAGCGTGTGAGCATTAGGAATTAAATGCAGGCTAGAAATCCATACAAGTCAAGGGCCCTTGCAGAATATATAGTTTGGTTTTTTGTTTTGTTTTGTTTTTAACCAAATAAACTCCTGACACTTCTTGCTGCTTCTAGTAACACCAGAGCCCCACAGAATAATAAGAAATGCTCACTGCTTCAGTTCCCACTTCTCACACCAAACAAAAGAGCTACGTGCAGGTGACACTCCTTTCGATGCTTCAAGGACACTAAATCTCTTGCTAACAATCTGACTGAATATATAGATATATCACTAGTTATAATACTTTTATTTCCAATTTCTTTGGGGGGGATTCAAGAGAGTGTTTCTCTAGATAATTCTGGCTGTTCTGGAAATTACTCTGTAACCAACTGGCCTTGAACTCAAGAGATCCACCTATCTCTGCCTCCCAAGTGCTGGGATTAAAGGTGTGCACAGCACGCTTGATTTATTACCAATGTCTACTAGATGCAATTGTCAGAGCTGCCAGCTGTCTCTAATCAGCTGGCAGACTGCACCATCACCTTTGCCTTGCCTGCGCTCATTCTTATCATGGGGCTTTTCTTTCACCTAAACTCTTTCTTCAATGGGGATTTGATGTGGGAGTGTCATATATCAGTCTGTTGATTTCATTGGTTAAGTTATAATAAACCAACTGCTTGGCCTCAGCTTAGAACATAGATGGGAGGAGTAAACAGAATAGAATTCTGGGCAGAAGAGGAAGTGAGATCAGACTCTGCTCTGCTCCGAGAGAGACCCAACAGCTCTGCTCTCTGGAGCAGAGACACCAGGATGGACGGAGGCTAGAATCTTCCCGGTAAGCGCACCTTGGGGTGCTTACACACATTATTAGAAATGGGCTAGTCCAGGTGCGAGAATTAGCCTGTAAGGGCTAGAGTTCATGGGCCAAGCAGTTCTTTAAATGAATACAGTTTGTGTGTTGTTATTTCGGGCATGAGCTAGCCAATCGGCTGGGGTGTTGGGGACGCAGCCCCGCCGCTCCTCTTATTTCAACAGGGATTAGCCTTAGTCAACTTCTAGCTCTCAGGGACCTGAGACTTATTTGCCCCAAGTACATCTACCTTCATGTGTCCCTATGCCTGTGATTTCTCCACCCTTTGGGCTTTCTCTCTTTATTCCTTAAGGCCTGTCCTTAGCACCTGCCACTATGCCTAAACATAGGACTGATATGTCTCAAAGATTCATTTTAGAATAAGATTTGTGCTGAATACTGACAGTTTTGGGAGTTTAATGAGGATGCAAATACATGGTCTAAGGTTACCTGAAAGATTAGTCATGAGGTAGTAACACTTCACAAAAGACAGCTGTTCCACATATGGGAACTTCTTAGCATCCCCAGCCATTTTCAGGGGTTTGGAAAGAACACGCAAAGCACCAGTCTCTGTGGCCTTCAACATCTCTCACATGCCTGAGGGTTCTCAGTTTTGGATGAAGGGGCAGAAATGGGCATTTCACTCCCTATATCAGGGAAGTAGGTGGTGGTAAGGCCCAATGTTGCAGTTAAGAATTAGATCAGCCCAGAAGACAAAGATAAGTATTTTCAAGTTTCTGTTGGTCAATGCTCACCTCTGAATATGGGAAGAGCCATATGGTAGCTGGGAGCTATTCAGTGATACTTCTGATAATTGCCCTTAAAAGCCATAGCTGTCGTCATTTAGACTCCTAAATATCCTTGTATTTAAGAGGTGTCAAATGTTCTTTGACAGCCCTGCCCTAAGTCCAGGAACCTACTGTGTAATATGAGCAGTGAAGGGGGGAGCTGGCAAGGTACTGCTAGGGTGGTAAATGGCACACTGCTTATATTCACAGGGCCATGTGGTCCAGGCATAGCGAACAGCAACCACGGTACCAAGACAAGCATTGATACCCAAGATCAGGGTCTGGGTGGAGAACGTGTTCATAGGAGCTGGAAGCCATTTGCACTGATGGTCACTGCAACAGGAGATCTAATAAGAGAAACACAGAATGGCCAGGCAAGTTAGAGGGGTGTATCCCCCCCCTAAAAATTAAAAAAAAACAAAGACCCACTCTTTCAGACATACTAGAAAGGAGGGGAAATAAGCCACTCTGAGCCAGAGATCAGTTCGATGGGTCTGGTGATGGAGTCACGGGTTAATAGTAAGTGTTCATGTAGGCTAAAGTTATAGCTTGGTGAAAGCACCTATGCCTAGCATGTACAAGGCCCTGGGTTTGATCTCAGCACCAAAAAGAAATTTTAATGTTCAAGTGATTAAGTAATTAAAACCCATTGAAAAATATTAACTTTCTGGGAAGACAAGGAACATTCAGAGACTGGACCCCCAAGCATTGTCCAGCTGATGTCTCCCTCCAGATGTTAAAGCCAGAATGTGAGTGAGCTAGCAACCCAGCTGTGGCTCTCTGGCACTCCCAGAGGAGGATGCAGTAAGACGGGACACAGAGCCACCATGGCTGCTGAACCTTGGGCATTAGAAAGCAATCCAGAGAAGACAAATTATCCGGAACCTAAAGGTTAAATTCTGCCCTAATGCCAACCACAGTTGGTTCCAGGGCCAGATGAAAGGCAAACCACCAGCTAACAATGGGAGAGTGCAGAGCTTTCTTGACAATCTCTAAATTCACCTCAAGCCCGCGTGGAAATTAGCAGAGGACGGACACTGACCAGGCCTCTGAGGCACGTGGACCCCCGGAAGCTCCAGCTCTAACCTCCTGCCAAAGGTCACCTGTCACGATTATCATCTCCTACCCCGCCCTCTTTTCACACCTCAGCTCCGAGCCTGGTGTCCTCAGGTTTCCCAAAGACGAGGCATCTAGGAAAGCCTCTTCCCTCAACTACAAGAGATTCTAATTCACCTCTTCAATCAGTGGTCAGACTGACTATGTTAGTTCATACCAAGCTGGGAATCATGCAGCTTAAGTTTTTCAAAACAGATGCTAAACTCTGAGAAATTCAGATTTTAGCACAGTGCAACAAAAAAGACAGCTAAGGTTTAGGGGATTCTTTTAGAGCAATGATCATTTAACAGATAAAGTCTGAATAAGGCCCTTCTCTGAGCAAAGGTGGCTGCCTGAGAAAGGAAATAGGAAAGTGATATGGTTTATTAGGGGCTGATTTTCCCTCCCTTGGTTGCTGTATCAAACTTGTGTCCAAACTAATGGATCAATAGTTGTGCGTTTGTCCCTCTGAGATGAGCTCACCACCACCCCAGCCACCCAGCAGCTGTTCCGACATCACACTGCAGTGATGGATAAGGGCCCCGGTGGGGGAAAGACTCCCCACTACCACAGACATAAACCCATCCTCATTCTCCCCTGCTATTCTCACCTCGAATGTCTTGTTATCTTGCCTATGCACCTTGATTTCCTGGTCATATGTGAGGTTGAGCAGCCCGTTGTGAGCCAAGAGTTCTATCTTCTTAGGTAGTGGCCCTTGAAAGGTCAAATTTTTCTCACCATAAGCCACAGCTCGAGCCCCCAAGTGCAGTCGGTAGGCCACAGTCTGTTTATCTCGAGGGTGGATGCTGCAGTGTAAGAACACATGGAGGATGATGGGACTGAGCGCACCAATAACTACATGTTATAAGGCAGAGTATTCAAAGCACTTAAGTAGGGATAAAGTAACAATTCTTCAAAGGTGCATTTATTTTTATTTTATGTGTACGTATGTTTTGCCTGCATGTATGTCTGCATCACGTACACACCTGGTGCCCGTGGGGGCCAGAAGAGAGTGTCACATCCTCTAGACCTGGAGTAATAGAGAGTTGTGAGCCACCATATGGGTTCTGGAAACCAAACTGGGGACCTCTGGAAGAGTGGCAAGTGTCCCTAACCACTGAGGCATGTCTCTGGTCTCTAAAATATTTTTTTAAAGAAGAGGGAAGAAAGGAAGGAAAGGATTTCCAGGTATGGTAGCACATGCCTGTACGAGCAGCAGCACTTAGGAGGCAGAGGCAGAAAGATCACACGTTCAGGGCCAGTCTGGTCAACTCAGTGAGAGTCTGTCTCAAAATGCTAAAGAAAAAAAAAATGGAAAAGAAGAGGGAAAGAAGGGGCAAAGAAAGAGGAGGAAAAAGAAAAGAGGAAAGACTAAAATTAGCTGAAATCAATAATCAGTGGCTAGTGATCTTCAGATCAGTGAGCGATAATGAGAGATGGTTGGGTTTAGAACCTTCAGCAACTGAGGGCGAGGAGGAAGAAAAGGAGAGAGAAGGGTGAAGTGTAAGGGAATGGACTGGACTGTTGGTTGCAGCTTAGGTACACTATGTATCCACCGTCTATGCTGGGATGAGCTGCAATAACCCAAGCCTAGGACAGCTAACATCAACTGCCTACCACTAAAAGCCATCCCTCCTCTGACCAGATGTTCATCATTCAGGTCTGTCTGCCTTTTATTTATTCCTTCAATAAATATGATCAAGTTCCTTCTGTAACCTAAAGGTCATATATCAGGCTCCATTTCATATTTGGAATACTATATCCTACAGCTAGTATGCAATATTCATTGGTGCTGACAACAAAAATTTCAGCCTTCCCTGAGTCCATACCACAATTCCACAGCCTATTCTCACCGAAGGTGATTATATCCATGATTTAGTTTAGTGATTCAGTTGTGTAGTACGTTTTAAGTTGTCTGGACACCAGCCAGAGTCATTTGAGAAGAGGGAACCCCAGTTGAGAAAATGCCCCTGCCAGACTGGCCTGTGGGGAAGAGGGGGTGCACTTTCTTGGTTTATAATTGATGTGGGAGGCCCAGCCCATTGTGGGTGATGCCATCCTGGCCTGGTGGTCCTGGGTTCTAGAAGAAAGCAGGCAGAGCAAGCCAATAAGCAGCACATTCCAACATGGCCTCTGATCAGCTCTGGCCTTCAGGTTCCTGCCCTGCTTCAGTTTCTACCCTAACTCCCTCTGATGTTGTACTGTAATGTGGAACTGTATGCTGAAATAAATCCTTCCCTTTTTAAGTAGTTTGATCCTTGTGTTTGTAACAGCAATAGGAACCTTCACTAATACACGTGGCTTCCAGATGATGGCACTTACTTCCCAATATAAGACTTAAAAATAATGACGGGAGGAAGATAAGCTTGGAGAGTCATCTCTTTAGGGATGATACTAGGGCTTGAACCAAGAGCTTAGGACACATTAGATAAGCACTCTACTCCTAAGCTATGGCCCAGATCTTTGGAGACTTTTGCTGTGGATCTGTGAACGACTGTAATGAGCAAAGTCTCTATTGACCTGCTTGACTGAGTGTGAGTATGACATAAGCTCCTGTGGCATCAAAGCCCTGAGGTAGGTGCCAAGGGGGTCTTGGTTGGTTTATTGGTCAGAGTTTCTGTACTGGGGGAGGTGTGATTTGGTTTGGATTCTGCAGCACATCCCAGCATAGATGATTGATACGTAGTACATCTAAGCTCCAACCCAGAGTCCAATCCATCCCACTACAAGTGAACATCACATTGAAAGACAACAGGCAAGAATATTTACTGGTAAAGCAAAGTTGAAGAGGGAAGCATACCTGCCAAAAGGTGAGTCCCGATCACAGAGATCCATAGCAACAGCCATGAAAGTATTGGGCATCTTCAGGTTGGGGACAAAGCCAAAGTCTGCTGTTTGATGCCAGCGAATCTCAGGAAATCCATAATCTGATGTGTTCATCAAGGTGTATGAAGACAGCTAGAAAAGAAAGATGCTGTCATTTTTACTGTATTTGACTCCTGGATGCTTCTCACTGATACTTTGCTTCTGCTCCACTGTTTTGTCCAAACATTTATTCAAGTATTTTCTGAGCATCTTATATTGTTGAGGGTGTTTCCGGGGATGGACAGCATAGTCTCCAACCGCCATGTGACTTTTTACAATGTATTATAAGTCTCATTCTTTTTTCTACTCAATTTAGGCTCACCCTGTGGTTTGCTGATCAATAAAATGAGCCAGAATTTGTATGCAGCTTCTGAATCTATGTCCAGAGGCCTTTGCTTGTAGCTTCGTGTTCTTAAAATCATGCATTAGCCATGAAAGAACAAAAAATATCCAGCTACTCTGCTGGAGAAACTGTAAATAGAGAAGGTTTGGGACGTAATATGGAGACAGCTAAAAACAGCAGCTGAAGGGCCAGTCATGTGAATTCTAGATGCTGCAGTCAGATTATGGCCACACTAGCAAGTCTCACTAACAATATCTAGGACAGAGATGAACAAACGTTACCTAGCTCAGTCTCACCAGCCGTGCAATATGAGTAGATAACAGTAATGCTTTTAGCTACGTATCCGGGGTAATTTGTTACACTGCCACAGGGAGCTGATAGATGAGCATGCAGCACAGGGCTGGCACCACAGAGAAGCAAAGGAGACTCCACCCTGTACATGGCGAGTCTTCACTCCTCCTCACATCCACACCTCTTGAATGTGACTTTGCAGTTATTATTATAAATGCAGTATATTCCTATTATAAGAAGCAGTATATTCCTCCACCCATTGACTCTGAGGTCAGTCATGAAGTTTGCTTTGACCTTGGAAGCTGAGATTAATGTGTGCCAGCCTAGGTGTCTTGCCTAGTCTGTACTTCTGGCATCGCTGAGAGAGGGATGTGGGGTGGCTAGCCTACTGCTCTCTAGAGAAGAATGAGAGCTGTGGAATGGAGCTGTGCATCTAAGAAGTCCAGCACTGCTTCAACTGGAGCTGAGCCCTTGCTAAGCCGCACAGCTCTGAAGAGCCCAGAGGGGCTTAGTTAGCCAAGATCACTGAAGCCCCAGGTTCCTTGGGTATGAGATCTATAACATAAAGACTGTTCTGAGCCATGGGGTTTGGAAGCGGTTTGTGACAAAGTTGTAGCTACCTAGTACAAGTACTTTTCAGCCTTGTTGGAGGGATAGACCAGAGCGTGACAAACTAAAAGTAATATGCAGCCACATACAATAGTATAGATTGAAAGCTAACTGGTGCTACAGCAATTTGAGCATACATTTCAAACAGATAAGGATTATTCTTGTGCAAGGACTCAATATATTTAGGAGTTTAAAAAAAAAAGCAGAAAGCCAAAAAAGTTGTCTGAGGAGCCCTGCTTAGATGAAGAAGAATTGTTGTTCCGAGCGGGGTGCAGACCACCTGCATGGATTTGTGATTGAAACACAAGGTTGGAAAGACAGTTGGCCAAGGTGGGAACATGGTTCCTATTTGATTCTGTAAACAATGACAGCCACTCCGGACGGGGTAGCTACACAGCACCATAGCTCAAATCCTCTAAACTGAAAACTGGAAAATGGTCAGCCTTAAAAGAATTTCAGTTCACTGAGTACCATCGAAACTGTCGACAGAGTAAAGGAAGTTGTAAAGCTAGCATGGCGACTGGACTGGGAAACTGGCAGGCCGTGAGTTATGACCACCTCCGAAGATGAATGTCCACAAAAGTGCACACATTCAAGAACTGGTCCCAGTGAGTGCTGCTGGTTAGGTGGGAGAATCTCTAAGAGATGGGGCCTAGTAAAAGGAAGACAGGTCACTGCGAAGTTGATTTCAGAGTGGATCTTAAAATACCAGTCTCTTTCCTCAACCCCTTCCTCCAGGTACCATAACATGAACAGGCTTCTCTGACACACTTGATCCCACATGGTGACAACAAGGCCAACTGGATACAAACTGGAATCTCTGACCAAAATAAGCCTTTCTTCCTTTTATGTTGACTTCTCTCAGGTACTCATTATGCTGGCACAAAGCTTAATATTTCTAGACAGACAGACAGACAGACAGACAGACACACAGAAATCAGACCTATCTAGAAGGGTAACAGTGGGAATGGGATGCTCAGAAATGAAACAAACCAACAGGACCAGGTAGCCAACCAGACACAGAGCCCAAGAGAAAACACTAAGTGTGTAGCTTAGAATCAGTAACATTTGGATCATCTGCTTGGGCTCTAGAGCAATTCACCAAAGACAACTAGTACCTGTAGAAAACACCGTTCCAGAAAGAACCTGTGAAGAATAACCCTGGTGTAGTGTCAGGCAGTCCGCTCATTCATTCTCTCAGTGAGTGCTTACTTGACTCAGGCAACAACCTCACCAAGAAGATGGAGTAGGGAACAAAACTCAGAGTGGCAATATTTTTACAAGATACATTCCAGGGGACAGACATGACAAACAAACAAAATAGGGTAACTCACTTTGTCACCAAGAAAATAATAATATATAATATGAATTCATATATAATATGAAAAGAGAGAGTTCTGGGGCTGAACAAAGACAACAGCATAAGAAAGCAAGCTATGTGGGTATCAAAGCATGTTAGGGAGAATTCTAAGATGACACACACTAACCCACATCCTTATATGAAACTATACCTTTGTGTGGGGGTAGCTTGCTCCTAACCAACATACTATGGTAATGGGATGCTATCCCTAGGATTACATCCCATCACATGGCAAAGAACGCATTTGTAGATGTAATGTTGACTTCAAGATCAAAAGGGAAGGAATCTTGGTGAGCCTGACCAGTCAGGGGTGCCCTTTCAGAGAAGGTCTGGAGTCACGGACTGGCCCCTGCTGCCTTTCAGGAATCTGACTGCCACAGTCCTAGAGAAGCTTCAAGGAAATTAATTTTGCCAACAATTGTGGGAGCTTAGACGAGAACCCCGAGTCTCAGAGGAGACTCCCTCCAGCTCTGCCTGACACCAGCATCCAGCTAGGCCACCTGTGCCAGGCGCACAGCATACGAGAACTGCGAGATAATAAATAAATATATGTTGGATGGTTTTAAGCTGCTAAATATAGTATTATGCAGCAAGAGAAAATAGAGTAGAGAAAATACTTTGCAGGCAGGAGAAAAAGAAAGTGTCAGGAATTAAAGTCAAAGTACGCCTAGTGTACTTAAGGAAAAAAATCAGGCAACCAGTATGGCTCAGATGGAACAGGCAGAGAGCATAGGAAGTGAGGTCAAGGGTGGTGGGAGCAGAGCATACATGGCCTTCTGGTATTAGTTGCAAGTCAAGGTGGGGGGGGGGGACACTGAAACCCTGACTGATACATTGAGAATAGCCTGAAGAGGAAGAGTCAGCGTAGAAACAAGAAGAAAGGCTTTTGATAAGAGATGGTAAGTCAAGGGAGAGTCCTTAGCTAGTGAAGGAGCAGTCGGGGTAAGAGAGAAGCACTCTAGACCCTACACAGTGAGCAGTAAATAAGATTAACTAATTCATGCTAATATGCCCCCGGCCCTGCAAAGAACAGGGGCTCCTGAGAGATGGTTTACTAATCAAAGTGCTGAGAACAAATGACTGGTGAATGCCCAGCCATGAATCCAATGCCCATGCCAATCCCTCCCAAGTTCAAGGTGCTTTGAGGGAGAAGGGGAGAAAAGAATTTAAGAGTCAAGGAAGGGTAGAACTTTAAAGATATGGGCCTCTAACTTCTAGATATACCATGGCTAGTATACTCGAACTCACAACAGCTGTGATTAGCTGCACAAGATCTATACAAGACTGAGCTTGTCAACACTGTCATGAGAAGGGGAGGGGCAGGTGGAGCTCCCACACCTAACCCCTCTCTGAGGATTTGTATACAGCTAAAGGTTGAGGAGAGAGGTAGAGACATTCCTCCAGTGATGGAGCTACTGGTAAGGTGCCCGTGCTCCTGCAAATAAACCTTCACCCATGATCCTACACTGGAACACACACACACACACACACACACACACACACACACACCACATGAAAGTAGAATGGGAGCTGCTTGGAAAGAGGAAAGGGAGGGGGACAAGAGAAAGCAATGGGGTGAATATAACGAAATTGCTTGTGAACACGAAGAAAACCTCCTAATGAAATCTACCATTACATATTACTACCACACAGTAATAGAAGATCACATAAAAAGGAAGAGGGTGCCTTAGTGTGTTCCTGCTGGGTTTTTCCTTCTGAGTTTATTTTCTGATGATTTAGACAGCATCTCATTCTCAGCCCTGGTTCCAGCCAATGAAAGGCATCAGTCTACTCTCTCTTTTCACAACCATGATCTAACAAGAAGTCAAGACACAGTCTGGACAGCACCCAAATTGTCATCTGACTCTATTTCGAAATGCCTGACCCCACTAGAGAAGCTCCATTCTACAGAGCGTTCTACCCAGCCTTACTCATCACGCTGCCCAGAAAAAAAACCTGGCACCCTCTACACACATGCCCAGATGACACTTTAAGGATATTTCCTGATTCTTGAGCGATATGTGCAACATCAGGAAAACAAAGAAAGGTTAAAGCAGTGACGAGAGCCCTGACTGTGGCACAGAAGCAAAGGAACATTCCAGTTTTCTTGTTAGGATCCTGTTCTGCAAACCTGGTTTAACATAGGAAACTACAAACCTTGCTTCACAGCAGAATCTCATCAAAAAGAAAAGAATAAGGCTGGGGAGACAGTCCAGCCAATCAAGGGCCTGCATGGAAAGTTTGATCACCAGAAAACACAAGCCCGGCACTGCGGAAGCACACACAGGGTCCAGGCTGAGAGAGACTTCATCTCAACAAACGATGAACAGCACATAAGGAACCATACCAAAAGTTATCCTCGCGCCTCCCACATGCCTGTACATGCACATGTCCCCATACAAATGTGAACACACACACACACACACACACACACACACACACACACACCAACTAGTCCTCCATCTTCTATCAAGGCAAGGACTGTAAATGGAACCATATTCACCAGGCAGAGTCATAATGGAAACAAAGCATCAAAGCCACTGGAAGCAGCCTTAAGCTCAACAGGCAGACCGGCTACATCAGCCCCTCCAGCCAAAGGCCTTTCCTCAAAATGGCAGTCTGCTGGGAATTCCTTCAGTTGTCCTTTCACGGGCGGCACTACCGCACGCCGGCCACTTGGGGGCACCAGCATACTCCACACCCAAATGAAACGCTTGTGTTTTTCCTAATCTGAAGTACAATCAAGTGTGGTTCAGTCTCCCGTGGTGCTTCTTACAAATACAGAGGCTAACGAAGACATATAACCGTAAAACAAAAACCCCACAAAACTAGCCACATTCAGAAGATGTTACACATAACCGGGAAGTTTTCAATCTCTTCCTCCAAGGCCCCTTTTAAAACCCAGCCTCTGGATCTTCTTTCTCTCGTGCTTCCAGCCACCCTTCTACCGTTAACTAGAATACCCCACCAGCTCTGCAAAAATAATAAATGCTAACATGCAGCATGTTTTCATACAGATTAAGTTACGCACTACTTAAAATAAGAAAGACGCTTGACAAGTTGCTCAACATCACACAGGGCAAGGAGTGTCACTGCGGGAAGTGGGGGGTGGCTGGAGCCCCAGATGCTAACTCCAGCCCAGCACTGGGCTGGGCTGTCACATTCAGGACTTCCCTTTGAATTCACATCCTTACATAAATACATAAGATAATATTATAAGTAATCGGCATGTTTTTTGTTAGTGATAAAGTTAAGGTTAAAGGGTAATTTTATAGACTAAAATTTAAGAAGACCAGATGCCATGTTTATAAGTATCCAGTGCATATTTTTCATCTGAATTAGAGAGTCACCTTCAAACAACCAAGTACACGAGCTGAGAAACAGTAACAGAGAACTGAAAATCATCATTCAGCCATGTTAGGTGAAAAAAAGTAAAAAAAAAAAAAAAACTTTTCTCAAATACAGGGTTTGGTGGCTGGGAAAATGGCTCTGTGAGGAAAATCTTCACGCCACGCAAGCAAGGGCTCTAAGTTCAGATCCACAGAACTCACATAAAGCCAGGCTCAGCTGCGGAGATGGATCTGTGGGTAAAGCCCTTGCTGCACAAGCATATGGATCTGAGTTCAAATCCACAGAATCCATATAAAGTCAGGTTCAGTAGCGCACATCTCTGAGTCCAGTATTTCCAGAACAAGAGGGGAAGCAGAGACAAGAACATCCCCCACAAGCTTGTGGACCAGTTCGCCTGGCATATGAGCTAACAGGACCCTGTCTTAAACAAGGCGAGGACTGGCTCTTGCTGATACACAGAAGCACACACCACATAAACACATATACACAAAAGGCTTCTCCAGGAAGGGTATGGTAAGGAAGATAAAGGCACAAGAGAGGGAAGGTGATGAGAACAAAGAGTTTATGGCTCACAAGGTAATAACTGAACCACGACAGTGGCCACTGACGGCTGGACGTTTTCATAATACCTTAATTGTGTAATTTCCGAGTCATAAAAGCCAGAACTACCACTCCACTAAAAAGTCTAGGCATTAGATATGTCGTGAACACATTTGAACTTGGCCCAAACGTTTATTCTTTTTTTCTAAGGGTGAAAGCAGAATATTTCTGACTGGCTTCCTCTGACAGAAAGCACAGCCTTCCCTCACAATGTTTTCATTTTGTGTTGCAAGCCATTATCTGAAAAGTGCCAAACAACCACATACTAGAAACACAAAGGTGACCCCCAGAAATATAGCCACCCATACAACTACATGTAAACCAAACAAGAGCTTAAGTGATTACTAAGAAATGCATTATCTGGGGGAAAGGCATCTAGCCCAGACGCTCACTAGTCATACAAAGTTTCCTAAAATCCAGGCAGAGACCCGACTAGGTCTTCAAACCAAGGATATGTATGATGCTTGGAAGACAGGCAGGCGATACGGCCAGTTCTAGAGGGTGTCAGGGATAACAGCAAGTCACGGAGACAGTGGGAAGCTAACATGGCTGGTTGGTTGAGCAGTTTGTGAGTAGGTCTAGGGAGGCAGCCGAGCCAGCCTTAGCCAGCTGGGGAAACGCACAACCCTGCTCAGCATAGGACAGTCCACATTCTCACCCACTGCTAAGGGTACACATTTACACAATTGCATAATTTTAACAAGAAATGGGGGTGTGAATAAAGCCTTTGGGGGGGTATATCTTCTGACCCAGCTGTTTCATTTCTGGGAATTTATCATTGGGCAATAATTAAGTTACAAGGAATCTGCTTTCAGGAAAACAACACAGCTTGTAAATGCAAAATAAGAGAAACCACCTAGTGCCTGTCCGTTAAGAACTCATTTCAATGTGTTTCAGTGAATCCGTATTTCTGAATATTCTGTAAGCATGACAAATCATGTTGAAGAATACGATTTATTGGCATGAAAATGCTTACAATATGATGGGAAGAGAAACAACAATTGTACACAAACAGAAGTATGCTTTTTTTTTTCTAGAATTTTCAGCAGTTTTAGCTTTATGATCGTGGTGGTGATGGTGGTAGTAGCTGGGATTGTTTTTGTTTGGGTATTTGTTTCGTCTTTGAAAGTTTTCCAGTGAAATTGGGGTGCTTTTAGAATAAAAAATATTAGCTGTTTATTAACATGTTTAAAGATTTCATCATCTCTTCAGTAAATTCATATGAATTAAGGGTTATATACAGCTCGGAGTTAGCACACACTGAAAACAAACGTGGGAACGCAAACGCCTGGACAGAGATCTGCATAGCGCAGGCCTTCCTCTGACACATACCTGGACAAATCCAAAAGGAAAGAAGCGCCCTGTCTGCCCCTGGGAGCCACGGTGGAAGGTCTGGCGCCAGTCGTCGATGAGTGCGGGAAACACGCATGAGTACAGGTCTCTGTTATAATCTGCATTGGACTCCCCTAAAAACATCACCTAAATCGTGAGAGGACTTCGGTGTGCATTTTTAAAATGCCTTACATTTTTCCTCTCCCCATCCACGCCCTGAAGTAGTAGCCTGCAAGCTCTTATGGCGTCACCACTTGCCGTACCCAGAGGCTCTAGGCGTGGCTCTCTCTAGGTTCCTGGAACTCTGGGACCATAAAGGAAATGAAAAATACTTGTGAGCCCATCTGCTAAAGAACAGGCTACCTGAGAATCACGACGCCCAGCACGCAGCCCCTAGTCAATGGTTATGAGAGACAGGCCTTCCTTGGCCCTCTGGCCACCGGGTAACTTAGCAGGTAGCTAAGGACAAATAAGAGATCCCAGACAAAACCAGCTGAAGCAGCACAGATCTAGGAGAACCACCCTGTTAAGCCAGAGAAGCGAGAGCTAAAGGAAAGTATAAAGTCACTGGGCTTTGACGCCATCAACTTCTTGGGGCCCTTGGCCACACTGCAAAAGCTAACTGATACAATGGAGAAAGGGTAAGCTCACCCTGGTACCACACCGCCCCTTTCAAAGTCATGTTTTGCAGTGGATGGATCATGGCATTCCAGAGGACAGAGTGCGCTGAGGGTCCAGCCACTAAAGCAGCCCGGAAGAACCTGGAATCGGAAAGATGAACAGGGTCACCAGATCACAATAGTCAGCCTGCCCAGGCTCACTTGAACAAACCTCAGAAGAAACAGCACAGGGCTAGTCCAGTCTGTTGCGTTTCACTGGAGAGCACGGGAAAGCCTTGGGGTTCTACCTCCGGGCTCTTCTGACTCAGTTCTGTGCGAGTCCACAGGAAGCCATGCCCGTTTCCAGATGCGGCCATTAAAGCGAGTGGGAGGCCGATTTACAGGCAATAATTTCAGCTAACTATTCCTCAGTAGAGAGATGCTTAGATCAGCTTAAGTGTTTTGCTTTTGTCAGTAATATCACGATTATCTTCCATGGAGCTAAACAAAATGCATACATACTTAATTCTTTTTGCAAGATAAATTCCCAGCAGCAGCACTACTGAGTCAAAAAGAAGGTTGTTTTTTTTTTTTTTTTTTCTGACTTTGGATATGGTTCCAAACTTCCTGTGGAATACATATATGCATTTAGCTTTGCGGCAGCTCTGTACGAGGACCCCCACTTTCCCCCGCCATTTGCGTTTGCATCCCCACTCCTCAGAGATCTGGCTTTAAAACCCCACCACAGCCAGATAGGACTTTCCCTCCTACTCTCCCAAAGGCCATTCATTCTCTTTGTCCAAACTTACCGTCTCCACCCCACTCATTCCCAGGCAAGCCTGTATCCAAATGTCCCAACTGTACTGAGAGCAAAGCTCCCCCCCTCCCAGAGAGGATGAAACAGGGCTCGCAGAAGTGGGGCGCATGCCGTTCACCTTCACCTGCATACAGTATTCTTTAGGGCTTTGTTTCGTTTTTCACTAACTAGTTCTTTCTCTCCCCCAGATATTCTCCCCACCCAGCTTTTCTCAGGCAGGCTTACTCAGTACACTAATATATTTTAAATACATATTTATGCATTCCTTCCTGCCTGGCTGTTTACTCTTGAGGCACAAGAGCTTGTACAGTGGCCAAGAGGAACCCAGGTGTTGGGGTTGGATTAGCCCACTTACTAGTCCTGCCCACAGCCACTTATTGATCCTCTGTGGGACTCGGTGTCTTTAACCACGGAACAGCAGCAGTATCAACACTTTAGGGATGTAAGAGCCTAGTACAGTACCCTCCATAGAAAACGGCAGCAAGCACTCAGCTACTGCTGTTACTGAGTTAAATGGTCGTTATCCCCTACTGACATGTACCCAGATGACTACAGTGCTCACGACAACAGCTGTGCCCTGCACATGGATAACTCCACACACGCAGGACAAATGTGGACATTCAGTGCACACTTACCTCCTCAGAGGACACAGGGGTCCATCACTCTCACACTCCCTCTTTGTGGCCTTTATCTCGGGTTGAAGAACTCTTGCATTCCATGTATCAGGGACTCCACAGGCTTCCAGTGACCTTCTAGATGACCAGACTTCAATGGGTGTCCCACCCCAACTGGAGGAGACCAGTCCAATGGGATATTGCAGAGTGTCATACAGGTAACGCCCAAAGAGCCAGCACACTGCTGACATGTAAGTGAAATTTCCATGGCCCAAGTTTCCTGGGCAGAGAAATATTACAGGGACAGTCATAAGAAAAGCAAGGGAATACAAACCTGAGCTGTGAGATCAATCAGTCTAGGTGAGAGCAGGGGCAGGAGCCAGCCCTGGGCTCCTTTCTAAGACCTTCAGAAGCAAGGTAAAAATGAGGGACAGAGACAAGATACAGCCCATGATGAAGCTTAGCTTCCAAAGCTCCCCTATGGAGAATCTCCCCCACCCCCTCATTAGTGACCATTTCTCTTGGTAGTTTTTTAGGTTGTTTGTGTTTGTTTTTTTTCAGTTGCTTATGTTTTCTCCCATAACGAGGAACTAGAGCTCTCAGTCTGGCATCAAGGCAAATGGAAACAACTGTGTTGCTGTCTGAACAGAAATAATGCACTTATGTAATCAGGGAACCAAAACTCTAAGCAGCTTTTGAGGTACCCTAGAACCTCAGGCACCTTGGAATTCAGGAATCTTCGCCCTCTTCAGGAGGTAAGCGACACAAGAACCATCAGGTCCCTTTTTCCACCCTCTTGTCTGGCTACTCACTTAAGGCAAGCAGCCAGAAGGGAGGGATGAGATGCATTCTTTTTTTCTGGATGATTTTATGACCAACTCCATGCCTAATGTAATGGAGTGCTGAGAAATCCAGCAGAAGGGGAGACACGGCCATCCCCAGCTTTACTCTTTCACCAGTCCGGTTTATCTGTTCACACTGCCCCTGAACCAATATAAGCTGCTGCACCTGAGTTCCACAGGGAGGAAGTTGGTGAGGGGAGGGAGGACGCAAACACGCACAGCGACAAGACTGATTCAGATCAGTACTTAGGCACTGGCGTAGTACTGCAAAGGACTCAAACCCAAGAAGTGATAGTGCAAATGCAGAAAGTCAAATCAATTTCCGACAAATTAGAATTGAGCACCTGCTATGTGCCAAGCTACATGATGGTTGAGACACAGCAGCAATGAATGAGCCACAAAGAACCGCTCAGAGCTCTAAAGCTTACTGAGTAAGTCAAGTGATTAGCTGAATAAAATGACAATACAGTGTCTTAAGAGAGTCAGAGAAGTGAAAGGCAGAGTTAACAAAGAAAAAATACTAAATGAGATGAAGTTCATAAAAAGCCTGGTTTGGGGGCTAGAGAGATGGCTCAGCAGTTAAGAGCACTGGCTGCTCTTCCAGAGGACCAGGGGTCAATTGCCAGCACCCACAGGGCAGCTCACAACTGTTTGTAACTCCAGTTCCAGGGTTTCAGACACCCTCATACAGACATATATGTGGGGAAAACACTAATGAACATAAAATAAAAAATATATTTCTTAAAAAGCCTGGTCTAGACTGACTTCCTCCCCTCTCTGCACAGCCTGATCAAGTCACTTCCTGTAATAATCTGCTCAGTGTTTCCCTCTACGGTGGTCAGGATGACACCGACTCCACTGTCTAGTCATGATTAGGAGATGTAGCCTTGTTCGAGGTATGCCACTGGGAGTGGGCTTTGAGGTTTCAAAAGTCCAAGCCAAGCCCCTTCTCTCTCTCCTCTCTCCTCTCTCCTCTCTCCTCTCTCCTCTCTCTCTCTCTCTCTCTCTCTCTCTCTCTCTCTCTCTCTCTCTCTCTCTCTCTCTCTCTCTCCTCTGAAGCTATAATCAAGCCCTCAATTAAATGTTTTCTTCGGTAAGTTGCCCTGGTCATGGTGTCTCGCAGCTATAGAAGAGTATTTCTTTTCTATAGTTTTAGTTACCCGAAGTCAGGAACTTATCTTATTCATACCTATGTCTCTAATGTCTAGGATACAATCAGAGCAAGTGTGTGTGTTCTAGTGTTAGGTGGCTGTGGGTAGCCAGTTTAAGATAGATCTGCCTGGTAGGTAGAGGAGAAAGGTCATTGAGAAGGAAGAAAATAAGTTAGGAGGACATAGGATAGGCAAGAATTTATTTATTTGTGGTGTGTGTGTGTGTGTGTGTGTAAAGATGTGCAAGCATGTGTGGGTACCTATGTAGAGACCAGAGTTGATGTCAGATGTCTTTTTCGACTGCCCTCCACCTTACTTATATATTCATGTTTCTATTTATTTATTGCTGAGAGCTACAGCTGTCACTGTATATTCCCACAGCAGCTCTCAGCAATGTGTTCCCTCATTTGTTTGATATGGCCTCTCACTAAACCTGAGACTTACTTATTCGGCTAAGCTGGTGAGCCACAGAGATCAGCTTGTGTCTGCCTCCCCAGTGATGGAATTACAGACAGATGCTGCCACGTTTGCCTTTTCATGAGTACTGGGGTTCCAGATTCAGGCTTACACGGCAAACATTTTATCATCTCTAGGCACTAGATAGCAAAACTGGCATTCTATATGGAATGTGTGTGTGTCAGAGAGACAGAGACAGAGGTGGGAGCTAGTTCCACCCTTCCATCATGTTGGGTCCTAGGGATCAAACTCAGGTTGTTAAGGCACGGAAACAGGTCCTATTACCCACTGCCCCTAAGAATCAGACAGAATGTAGTTTACTAAGTATTGGGTTCCTGAATTTTTTCACAGTAGATTATAAGCACATGAGGTCAGGTGTTTTTACCTGTGTCGTTCACTGCTTTACCCAAAGCACTTAAAACAGTGCCTAGCAAATGATGGGCTCTCAGGAGCTTGGTGAATACACTAATACTTGAAAAGGGAGGAACGAATAAAGACTCTGAGGGAAAGCATATACAAAGTAAAAAAGAAAGGGCCTAGAAAGAACACGGAGACCACATTTGAAAGTAGAATTAAGGAAGCAAAGAACAGGGGTGAGGGGTTGGCGGCAGGAGAACTGAAAAGAATTACCACACGGTTAGGAGTGGCTAAGGGCAGTGGTCAACAGTGCCAAGTGCCGCTGAGGTCACAGAGTTTATAACGAGAACAGTACCATTAAGGTGAACAAATTGTTGAGGTATAAGATCCAGACTACCAAGGACTGAAGAATGGACCATGTTGCTAGGCGATGGTGGTACACACCTTTAATCCATCACTCAGGAGGCAGAGGCCAGCAGGAGGATCTTGGAGCTCGAGGTCAGTTTGTTCTATAGACAGAGTTTCAGGACAGCCAGGGCTACACAGAGAAGCCCTATCTCGAAAAAAGAAAAGAAAAAAAAAAGAGTGAAACATGTCAAGGCAGTGAAGAGAATGAAAACAAAGACTCTAGAAAGTGTAAAGCAACAGGAAGAGACGGAGCGTCATGAGACGATGTTGGCTCTGTTTTAGTTTGTGAAAAGAAAGAGCAAGGCTAAACCCTTGCAGTAGGAATTATGTGTCTCTCACACTCTCTGCCCTGTCCTTGGACTAGTGCAGAGTCTGCAGCAGAGGAGGCAGAGACATGAAATAAAGACTCTGTGTTGAATGGAGAAAAAGGGCAGAATAAATCCTGATGAAAAAGGCTCTGGAGGAAGCTGGGGCAGATCCAAATTCACTCTAAAAGGATATCAGTAAGTTGTACTCAAGCACCAGCATGGGGGCGGGGCAACAGAGAGGGTTACCATGAGGGAGAAAGATGCTGGCCCCCCTCATGCTGAACAACAATCAGTACTGTTCTAAAGTAAAAGCAAGAGCCCTTTCCTGAACACCAGGGCAAGACTCAGGGTGGACATGAAACGTGAAACCATGATCATCAGGGATGGGATGGAGACCCAATAGGAACAAAAGGATGGTTCTGTAATAATAAGAACCAAACTGAGGGGTTACAGGTTCTGCTTAAGTCACTAACCCATTCCCTAGAGACGTGCAGGCTGAAGCACTTACATACCTGCAGTGGGCTTGGACCACGACAGGTCAACCTCATCAAGGTCTTCCAGTTCCTCCTCTGCCTGGACGAGGGAGACAGAGAAGATGCGCACAGACTGGTAGGCAGCACTGTCAGACAACTCCTTCGAGGCATTAAAGATCTAGAAAGATCAGAGGGTCCGTTAACCTGAGAGACAGCAAGCTGGCTTATAGCTTCTCAGTAAACACTTCTTGCAATCCACTGAGCTCCTTATAACACTTGGATACACTGAGAACAAAGGAATAACCAAATCAGTAATGGTTTGGACCAAAAACCATTGGGTCCACTCTGATCAATGGAGTCCATGATGAATCACAACTCATAAGCGAGGGAGCCCGGCATCTGCCACAGCAGGTCTATACGGGACAAGAAGAGCTGTGTCGGGGTACAGCTAAAGAACACTATGTATTACATCATTGTCTCCCCCTACCCCCATGGCTCTGAGGACTGGATCTAGGGCTTAGGGCATGCCTGGGAATCCTTCTACCACCAAGCTACACCTCCCAGCCCATAGTTTAATATGAAACTAAAAGACTTGTTCCCTCTGGTAACTGATACCGGATAACACAAAGTCTCTGAATTAACTCCTTTTAACAATGGTGTTTAGGGAGTGTCTGTGGAGACAACATAGACCATGACTTATTTAATCTATATACCATTAATAAAGAAAAAGATTACAAAGAAACACACAAGAGAAATGACTGTGGAACCTAGGTTACTCTCATCTTGATCCTGGGGTGGGGCATAGTCACTAAGGAAAAGGCTAGCAAGAGAGGTAATCTGAAAAGTGCTGCCAGGGGAAGGTTCAGAAGAGTCCCAAGGAACTAAAGAATGAAACGTGTCTGCCCAGAGATACCACATGTCCCAAACCACCCCACGAGTCCTCATGACACAGTGGTCTGGTGCTATTCTGGGCAAGATTGTACGTGCCGTACTGAGTGACTTACTCATCAGGCCTGGTAAGCCTCATTCCTCTAAATCTTAGGAGCACCCTACTTCCTTTCATCGTGGTCTCTTGCACTCTTGTTGGGTTATTGTTTGGGGTTTTGTTTTCATTAAGGTTTCTGTTGCTGTGACGAAACACCATGACCAAAAAGCAAGTTGAGGAGGAAAGGGTTTGTTAGGCTTACACTTCAGCATTGCTGTTCATCACTGAAGGAAGTCAGGAAGTAACAAGGCAGGATCTTGGAGGCAAGAGCTGATGCAGAGGCCATGGGGGTTGCTGCTTACTGGCTTGCTTCCTATAACTCACCTTCTTACAGAACCCAGGACCGACAGCTCAGGGATGGCCCTCCCCACTGATCACTAAACGAGGAAATGCCTTATAGCTCAATCTTAAGGAGGCATTTCCTCAGCTGAGGCTCCTTCCTTCCTCTGATGACTCTAGTTTAGGTCAAGCTGACACACAAAACCAGCCAGCACAGGTCTGTTGATGTAATTTCCTTTATGGTAAAAATCAAAGGACAATATCTTGGTTTGCTTTTGTATTTGTGTGCGCATTTGCTCCAGAGTCCTCTCTATCCCCCAGAGCAGTCAGCTTCTCTCAAGACAAAGGACCAACAGGATCATCAGGAAGGTCAGTTACCGTGTGCCTCAGGGAGCAGGCTCTCCAGATGAGTCAGGCTGCCACAGCAAGGCACAGGAGGCCAGGATACTTTGCATTGGCCTCCAGCCACAGAGATGGCAGCTGCTTCGCTTTCCCTCCCAGCCACCGCAGAGAATACAGCTGGCCTTCCAGCCCATGATCCAGAAGAAGGAAAAGGAATAAAGCAGCCAGGGTGCCCCCTTGGCATCTCATTGAAAACTGCTGTCCCTAGAATCGCCTTCGAGTTGACTACTGCACTGGCTGTAGCCAACAACACAAGCAAATACAAAGGAAATTGTTCTTGGGTCACTGTGGGAGCCACAACCTGATGTGCCTCCTGGGCGGTATCAGCTCCAGCTGTGAAGGTCTCCATACTTAGGGCAGACATCACACACAGTCACAGGAAAATTCCACTGGAAATTCTGATCTATCTTCTGGAGCTTACCTGGCAGGTTTAATGGAAAATGGATGGCAAAGAGAAACAAGCTGATGTGCTCACAGTGTACTCTGGCAGGGAAATTATTTTTTAGCGTTAAGTACCTGTAAAAAGTCACCTCCTTTGAAATTCAGCTCTGCACTGAGCACGAAGCATCGTGTGTTGCTTCCATGGAAACAGTGGATGAAGCTGCTTTCATTCCCTCCGCCCACACTAGCTTCCACACTGCCTGGGAACGCGAGCAGCTCATAGCAATGAGACGCCAGCTTGGGGAAGCAGGATGGGAGAACATGCTACTTGTCTTCCAACCCCATTGCTGAGTCTGCCTGGGTAGTGCCAGGGCAGTGGAGTCAGGGTGGCTGGCATGCTCCTGTATTGTTACCAGCCCAGGGAACTGGATTCAAAACATTAACTGGAAGGATCTTTTCTCATATTTGCCAGAACTGGAAAGCCGGGTGTTATAACAAAAATGGGGGTGGGGAAAATTCCTGCTGTACCTGATGACAATCACATCTGAAATTGGTCCCCGTTCCCAATACCACTGCCTTTTTGATGGAAGCATTTCCTCTGGGATGTTGGCAGCAAATTTAGGAATAAAGAGATTTCAGGAAGATTTTCATTTAAATGACACTTGGTTTCCCTGCTGATGAAAGGGAAGCTTTACTCCATCTGCTGAGATCAGATTTCATCTCATCAAACACCTCAGTATAATTATTTCCCTACCAAGTATTTAAATGAGGATGTAAATGAATACCAAGGTATTTGAAGTCATTAAGGCTGCCTGGGCTGAGGGAGAGCACCGCTGTCTCTCCAGGGACCAGACTGGTCCCCATCAAAGCAGCTGCTCACCAGTGTTCATTTTGTAACCTTTGTACCACATTCTTGAATTAATGAAGACACGCCAAGAATCGATTTCCCTCAGAGGATCTAAGCAAGGGGCCTGCAAGGGGGAACAAGACATATGTGTAAGTGTGTATGTATGTGAATGTGTGAAAATGTAAGCGTATGTGTGTGCTCACACTCACACATGTGGTGGATGGACATCTAGGCATCGACACAGAAGAATCTGGAGATTTAGTACTTTGTTTCATCTTCTACTGTATCAGTTTAGTTCTAAGGTTGAGGTAATAATGGTATATAAGCCATCCGCCATACTTCCAAGAGTCCGCTACTGGAATGTGGCGCCCATCCCTCTCTTCCATATATTAATTTCTCTATATGTAAAATAAGAAAGAAGAGATTGTCAAGTGATGGGCAATTTGGGCTTCTTGTCTGATACTGGCCATCTTTTCCTAAGCTTACTGGAAATAGCTGAGTCTTAAGACCTACCCTGAGGTGGCAGATGAACATTTAGACTTTTCTCCATTTATAAACATCTCACTTGGTGTTATAAATAACATTCAGCTTTAAAATTCCATTTTACCCTAACAACAAGATGGGCATACAATCTGCCATTTCCTTCTTTGAATGTGAAGAGGGGTAGGTTATAGTGAGAATCTTACCTCCTCAAAAAGGCACATGGAGGGAGGAAAGGGGAGAGAGACAGCCCTGTGCTTGTGTGCTTATGTGCACTGGGAATCTGGACAGAGAAAGGAGCAAAAGCATCAAGGGGGAGCCGTGCAATGCATGCTTCCTATCAGAAGAGAAGGCTCTGCACACTGTTAAAAGACCGGAAAATGTGGCTTTCGGTACTATCGCACCTAAAATGCTGCCTTACAAACTAAGTGCATGAGAGAGAGAGAGAGAGAGAGAGAGAGAGAGAGAGAGAGAGAGAGAGAGAGAGAGAGAACACATATGTTTCAGATAGAATCCTCTTTTCTGTCCCCCTCCATCTCAGAGCTCCCAGCCCAGAGTTAATTCAGAAGATGCTCGAGAAAATTCCAGGCAGAAAGAAAGTGTTTACGCTTAGCAATCAAGATCTGATTTAGCTTGAAAGAAAATGGGATGGGATCCCTTGGCATAGCCTGCTATTGAGAAAGTTACTATATAGATACAAACAGATCTGGTCCATGCCTTTCTGTGAAAACACAGAACTACAATTAAAACATGAGGGAAAGCACTGCTTCCTCTAATGACTTGACAGCAGTTCCACTTCTGTGTAAAACCATGATTCCTACCAGGATAAAACCTCACATCTGTGTCCATTCAAACATGCCAACAAGGTCCAGGCCAAATTTAGCTTAATAGGCATTTCAATTTAAAATACTTCCATATATTTAATTAAGGCAGGAAGAGTTCACAAAATACTGATTAGAAAACTATATATACAAAAAGTCAGATTTTTTAATGAGTTAAACATGGGTAAAATGAAGTAGATTTGTCAACCTTTTTATTTATTTATTTATTTATTTATTTATTTATTTATTTATTTTTGGTTTTTCGAGACAGGGTTTCTCTGCGGCTTTGGAGCCTGTCCTGGAACTAGCTCTGTAGACCAGGCTGGTCTCGAACTCACAGAGATCCACCTGCCTCTGCCTCCCAAGTGCTGGGATTAAAGGCCTGCGCCACCATCGCCCGGCTTTGTCAACCTTTTTAATACCACTGTTTGGCAACAGGTTTTCCTAAAGGGAATAATGAAACTATAAAGAATAAAAGCTGTATAAACAAGCCAGGCAGTGGTGGCACAAACCTTTAATCCCAGTCCTTAGGAGACAGAGGCAGGCGAATGGCTAAGTTTAAAGTCAGCCTGATAGACAGAGCTAGATCCAGGACAGCCAGGACCAGGGCTATACAAAGAAATCATATCTCAAAAAAAAAAAAAGCTTAAAATATATAAAAGTACTCTAGTTTCCACTTTTTTAGTGATTTATTTTCATTTTATGTGCATTGGTGTTTTTCCTGCATGTGTGCCTGTTGGCTCCACTGGAACTGGAGTTACAGACAGTTATGAGCTGATGTGTAGGTGCTGGGAATTGAACCTGGGTCCTCTGGAAAAACAGCCAGTGCTCTTAACCAGTGACTCATCTCTCCAGCCCCTCTAGTTTATACTTTTATCAAAGAGAGAATTGAAAGGAAAGCATGGCTTGGTTGTACAGATTCCTAAACATCAAACTTAAAATATTTCTTAAAAACAGAAAAATAGTCAAGAAAGGCAAGAAGAGATAAATCAACTAGAAAAGAAACTCAGTTTGGAGGATAAAGATAGGAATAGCGGTAAGCTTTAACCTCTTTAGGGAGAAAACTGAGTATATAAACACAATTAGTGCCAACCAATAACTCCAATTTAATCAATAGTTCACTTCTTTAGGGTGCTAAATACAACAATTTAGTATGAAAGCACTCGGATTAGATCCTGCGCATGATAAGCACTTAGTAAATGAAAACAGCCTTCCTTTTCCTTGTTAGTCTTTTTCCCTTCTCCTTCTTCTCTCTTCCTCCCCATTATCATCAACATTTATTGTCAGCTGAGACTCCGAATTACCTGTGACACAGTCATCTGCATGTTACTCTGCCCACTGCACAGCCAGACGTCTCCAAATAAGACATCGTGAACCCTCAGGGTGGCATTCGTTATCCCCAGAGTCTGCTGTGCCATCACTTCAAAGGGTCCCCCGGGCTCCATGGGATCCAGCACCACCATCCAAGTGTTGGAGTGTGCTGCAACAACAACAGACTCCAAGGAATTAGCCAACCAACCACCTAAAACGAAGTCAAACCCCCAACACACTCCATGTGTGGCTATGCCCAGGCTCTGTGACAAACGGTATGCAAAGCTATAGGGATTGGCCAAATTTCAGACAAGGGGGGATGGAGCTGTTGAGAACAGCAGCCCTTTTATCCTTAATCTGTACCAATCCACGCTTATTTTTATCTAAGGCGTTTACAGGAAAAATTAGTTACCCAGTTATAATCCTAAATTAGGAGAGACAAAAATACAGATAGATTAAAATTCAAGGACAGTTAGTTTTAAAAAAATTTAAAAAACACAAAATAGAAATTCTCATTACACTATCCAACTGTCAATATTACCATAATCTAATCTTTCTGATTTACACAGCACCCTGAACTAACTTGCAATTATCCAATCAAATGTGAGCACAGGCTAAGACTCATTTCTACTCTAAATATTCCCTTTACTAAGCAGAATCACCCTTGTCATCCACCCCACCTCCTCCCACGTTGCTAACAAGTATTAACATTGCTGGTGGCACTGGGCTCTCCCATTAGCGAACAGGTGCGTGGAGAAACGAACATGTCAACAAGTAGTGGGAAGCGTATAAATTAATCTCTGCGAAAAAGATATTTTAACTTGCCCAGTCGATTATTCAGAATGAGCTTTTGGGACTCCACTGGGGAAAGGAGACGCTACGAAAGGCCCTATTTTAGGGATCCCTGGCTTGCTCCCTGGGAGCCACACCTTCCACTGCCCTTCTTCCCGGTCACTGGATCACTGTATTCACTGTCATACTCAGAGATTGAAAACAGAAATGTCTTCCAAGTGGCAAAGTATGCAAGACAAACAACAAGAAAACATAAAAACAGCAGAACAGGGAAATACAAACATAGAAAAGGCAGAGAAAACATTTTAACATAAAAATGGTCAAACATGAACTGGCTTAACACAGTTGCCGTCACATCAATCTAAATTCAAAGGAAAAGAATGGGGAGACGGGGCCACAGAGCAGTGGAAAGTTATTCCCCTAACCTATGTGAAGAAATAATTACATAGACAATTACATAAATACCACCCAAGCACCTACTCCATGCTGGGCAGCCGAGGCTCTTTCTAGCCAGAGACAGCTAAGCAGAAACAGATGCCCAGATGCACACTGGAAAACTAGGAAAAACTGAAGCCATAAAGGGTCGCTTAGAATGCCGGAGGAAATGTCTACATATTCGGCCTCTGAAAAGCAAAAGCAGCTGAGTCTGTCACTCCCCTCCAGGAGGTCAGCGAAGCCCAGGACCACGTGCTCACTATTGTATTTCTCTGACCAATAGCCAGGCATCAGCGTATAAAATTCATAATTCCACCGAAACCAGAAAAATCACTGTTTTGGAAACAGTGGGCAGCGAGTACAGATTGAGTCGCACAGGTGTGATGTGCTCCGTATGGCTCACACTTCTGAACAGGCAGACATTCCAATCTGTCCTAATACAGGCTTGCCAAGGTCTTTCCAGGCTTCCTGCACTGACACATCTCCCCAAGACTCTGTCCTCCTGCCACTAACACTGCTCATGTTTGCTGATGGGGTCAAGTGCCAGAAAACTTAACACAGGACCATGTCTTAGACTTCTCCTATTATCCAAGGATTCAGAGGTATTAATTGGGTATTTTCCCTTAGCTTTTCGGCACACACGGGGGTGGCAAAAGCTCCTCTGGCCAGCACTTCCAACAAGTGTCACTGTCTACGGTGATATGAATAAGATTGGCCCCCATGGCTCATATATGTGAATGCTTAGGAAGAGGCATTAGGTGTGACCTTATTGGAGGAACTGTATCACTATGGATGGGATTTGGTGTTTCAAATGCTCAAGCCGGATCCAGTAGCTCTCTCTTCCTGCTGCCTGCCTATCCAGACACATAACTCTTGGCTCGTTCTCCAGCACCATGTCTGCCTGTGCACCACCATGCACCACCATGCTTCTTGCCATAATGATAATGGACTAAACCCCTGAACCTGTAAGCAGCCCCATTTAAATGTTTTCTTTTGTAAGAGTTGCCGTGGTCATGGTGTCTCTTCACAGCAACAGACACCCTGACTAAGACAATGTCCAACAACAAAAAGACGGTAAGGAGAACAGGAAATAGCACCACCATCTTTACTAGCACTACAGTAGAGAGACTACTGGGAGGGCCTAGAACCTGAGGAAAACCGAACCTGGAGGCTGAGCTCTGATCTCAACATCCTTTGTACCAGAGAAACCTGTCTTCAACCTCTCAAAAAGCCTCCATCTTGGCTAGCTAAGATCTTTGAGTTTCTAGCGTTTTCCCTCTCTCGTTTAAGAAAAAGAAAAATAAGCCCTGACACAATGCTGTATTGGGCAGCAGAGCATGAGAAACTCATTGCACAGCGGTGAATTCACTGATGGGAACGCCCAATCAAGAGCGGACTCACAAGCTATAGGGTCTGATTCTGTGTGGATACTGTCTGCAGGAAAGAGTACAGCACCTGTGATGTCTTAGACGAAGGGTGGGATTCTAAAGTCAGAAGCCACCGTGTTTCACAAGGAGAACTGGCTAGTCCTGGGACTGTCAATTCCGAACAGGTTGCTGAGGGGGAGCAAGCCACAGGCCACTTACGAGCTTTTAGAAAGTCTGTTCACCCATCAAGTCTGCTAGGATGGGTACAGATAGAAAATCTGAGCCAGAGACCATAACTCATCCAGCATCCAATGGGCTTTCTGCTGGTTCTTGGTCTTCTGACCCACAGTTGCTCTGGCCTTGCTTGCTGGGCAGTCGTCATTTGCTACCTTGTTACTTCTCGTGCCAGTCCTGGCCCGGCTTCTCTAAGTTTTCATTTTCAGTGCAGTAAGACCTTCCTTAATTCTGCGTCCTTACATTTTTTTTCTTCTACCATCTAGGAAGACTGATCTCCTTGCTTCATCATACAGCTTCTTAGCCTGCTTACATTTTGCCAAGCACCCCATCAAGTAAATGACAAAAAAAAAAAAAACCTCCAACCCTGGGTTATGCTGAGAAGAAAGCCATGCACATTGACAAGGGCTTTATGTTTTCACATGTAACAGCATATCTCGTGGCTTGCCCCTGACTACTGATCTGAATATTATAGCCAAGGACAGACGCAAAGAAAGGATTCTCTATCTCCCTTTTCTCTCCCTCTTCCCCAGATAACTCCAGCCCCAAGATGGAAACCACCATCAAATGGACAAAATGAAAATAACGTGTGTAGAGACTTGATTAATCACAAAATATTTTCTTTCTTTTCTTCTTATTAGTCATATCAAATATTAATTATTTTGTAGGTCACTGTGCCCAGTACCAAGAAGGGGGTGGGATATCCAAGGCCTTTTATCTTCTCAAGAGGAACACATAGGGATAAAAGAAGTGGCTCTCTTCACTTCTCCACATAGAACCTGACTCTACATTGGCTGTAACGTGATCCTGTGGCTTTTAAATGTGGCTCAAATGTGCTGCCTGAACCATCCCTTACTACCGACATTCAGTCTATAGCTTAAAATGCAAATCTACCACCACCAAATAAGAACAAAATAAAAACTAAACACTTTATGTCAGTAAAGCTGCTTATGAAAGTTATATAAACTATAGCATGTTGTGGCATGCACACCTTAGAGCGGGTTCTAAAGTTACAGGCTTGTATTATCCTCCCTGCTCCAGAGCAAAACAGAACCTGTGACCTGCTTTCAATCAATAGCTCTACAACAGAGGAGAGGTGAAATGTCCCTGTTGAGATTAGATTATTTTATGAAGGAGGAAAGTCCACTCACCTCAGTCACAACGGCCATCATTAAGAAAACAAATGACAACAAAAGCCGTTGTGGAACCTTTATAGACTACTAATGGGAAATAAGCTGACTAAGTAGCCATGAAAATTAATATGCTCTAGCCAGGCGATGGTGGCACACACCTTTAATCCCAGCACTCATGAGGCAGAGGCAGGTGCATTTCTAAATTTGAGGTCAGTCTGGTTCTCAGAGTAAGTTCCAGGACAGCCAGGGCTACACAGAGAAACTCTGTCTTAAAAAAAAAAAAAAAAAAAGGAAAAGAAAAAGAAAGGAAGGAAAAAGAAAAGATTAATATGTTCGAAAAATTAAAAGTAAAATGACCACGTGATCCAGCTATACCTGCAAGTAAATTCCAGAGTATATACCTGAATGAAGATAAACCAGCACATCACAGAGATACCTACACATCTGTGCTTCTGAGGCACTATTTGCAATAGCCAAGATAAGAAATCGGCCCAGATATCATCAATAGATAAAGAAGAAAATGTGTTATGTGCCTACATACAATGGATTTTTATTCAGACATAAAAAAGAATGAAATTATATCATTTGTAAGGAAAATGGATAAAATAGAAAAGTATCATATTAAGCTAAATAAGTCAGACATGGACAAATATCACATCTATCACAAATAATCTAGATTTAAATAAAATATAGTCAACATAATATGAGACATGAAAGCAGAATGGACTACTTGAATAGAGAAAGTAGACAAGCAGTTAGAGTCAGGAGGTGGAAGATGGGTAAAGAAGTGAATGTGAGCACAATATAATGATACCTATGCATAAAATGCCAATAATGAGACCAATTATTTCATATCCTTTCAAAAAGGAGACTGGGGATATAGCTGAGTTGATAGAGCACTTGCATAGCATGCACAAAGCTCCGGATTCACTCCCCAGCACTGCATAAACCAGGTGTGATGATGGTTCATGCTTATACTCCCATCCTTTAGGACTGCAGCCCTTTAATACAGTTCCTCATATTATGGTGACTCCAATCATAAGATTATTTTTGTTGCCACTTCATAGCTGTAATCTTGCTGCTGTAATGAATCAAAGTGCAAATATCTGATATTTCTGATGGTCTTAGGCGACCCTGTGTCTCTTACCCCTGTATCCAGGACTTGTGCCTCCTCTTTCAAGACAAGTCTTAAACTAAGTCCATTACCCTGCTAAACTCACACACACAAACACACACACACACACACACACAATCCTTCCTTATTGTGGTGCACATCTCACATAGCTATAAGTGTTCTTTATTTTCCTGCCTTCCCTAACCTGCAAGCTTCACTAAGGGAGAGACTAAATCAGTTTCATGCATCAGCTTATCACCAGTACCTCGCACAGTGTCTGGTGCATAGTAGATAATAAATATTGGAATAACTGAGTAAATAATAGTAACAGTAATAGTAACAATAATATCCACCCAAGTTAATGTGCCAAGCACTGTTTCAACTAATTTGTGTTTACTAATTTACTCCTCATTATCATCCATTAATAATTAGTATCACTTTTACTTTATATGTGGAAAACACACTGTCACTTAAATATTTGATAATATGTCTAAATTATATATCCAGAAATGACAGAGTCAGAATCAGAACCTAGACCGTGAACTCTAGAGCCAAAGTTATTTAGTAGATCTCCAAATTGACTCTTTTTTAAAAAAAACGCTAAGACGCTAAGAGAAATATATATTACCTAAGAGAAAAAAACGCTAAGACTTTTTAAGAAATTGTGTGTGTGTGTGTTCATGTGCACCATGTATATGTAGGTGCCCAGAGTAAACAGAAGAGGGCATCAGATCCCCTGGAGCTGGAGTTTACAGGGCCTTATGAGTCACCCAGTGAGTGCTGGGAACTGAACCCAGGTCCTCTGCAGGAGCAGCAAAAGCTCTCACCCACTGAGCCATCTCTCTCGAATCTAGGACTGCCTCTCTGGCATGTATGATTCAGCTCAAATATCATCTTCATTGGCAGCTTTTCCATATCAACTACGCTGAGGTATATGCCTCTCTTCTGTATCTCATAGAACTCCACAGATAATTTATCAGTGTTCATCAAACTTCTGCATAATCTGTTCTGCTCAATACGGTCCTTAGCAAACCCTTTGAGCCTTGTTACCATTTGTGGTATGTTTGGTGCCTATTCACATAGTAAGTTCTCAAATAAAATAGCTTTTATGGTTGGATGCATGGATGGATGGATGGATGGATGGATGGATGGATGGATGGATGGATGGATGGACAGCCTGAGCTGGAGCTATAAGCATTCATTTTCAGATAATCCAGCAGGTGGCAGAAGAAGACAACAACTGAAGAGAAAATGGGCTGCCTTACCTTTCACACTGGTCACTTTCTTCATGATGGTTTCCTGACCTTGGCACAAGGTCACTGTCACTGTAGCTCCAGGTGTGCCAAAGCCCCAGATCACTGCCCCTGAAGGCTCCTTCTGCAGCACCATGTAATTATCGATGTACGAGGCAAAGCGAAAACCAACACCTAAAAATGTTGGCAAACACGTAGGAGACTATCATCAGAGAGACTGGAGCATCAAGTGGAAGTAACATACAGTCCCTATATACAAAAGAATATGAGTCTACGCAAGCCTTGTAATCTTCCAAAACTAGACCGTGCTGCTCTTAACTAAACAACAACATAATAAGAAGAGTTTTCAACAATATGCAACACAGGATAACATGATCATCAAGGAAAACTTAGGGCCCAGGACAAGAACCAATGTACACACTCTCCTTCCCTCCCCTCCATAGCGCTTGGTCAACACCCTTCCCCACGCCCTTGCTCTAAAATTTGGCTCTGACACTCAACTTTTCTTCCTAGTCACTAAAAATGAACCGTCCACATACCTCACAGATGGTGTTTATAAGAAAACCAAACCACTTCCTTCCCCAACTCTCCGCCACTGTGCCCACTCCTAGGAGCTAGGAAGGAAGAGTGATGCCTGTCTGCAGCACAGGCTCTCTAACGCTGTACCCATCTTCATCGCCCGCCTTCCATCCTGCCACTGCCAAATCCCCTCACGTCATTCCTCTCAGCACGCACTGTTGTCGTCGTTATTGTCTGGGCTTGGGGGATTTTTGATTGTGTTTTGATGACCAGAGATAGCACGCATATAACCGTGACAAGTCTCCCTGAGAAGTTCAGATAAATTCGGGACACAAAATTAAGATCATGGAGAGACAGAAGGTTAAAATCTCAGAGAAAATGTCTCATCACCATTTTACAGGCAAAAGAAAGAGGAGGCATGCTTGCATATTGGATGCTGTGCTAAGAGTCACTAAGAAGACTGAATAAGAATTCACTTTAACGAGATCATTTCTATTTTTAACTCATAGCCTATATCAAAGTACTTTTTAAATAACAAGCGTTGATCCACATGATCCCAGTGAGCTCACAGAAATTTAACTAGGAAAATCATAAAACTTACATCCCAATTTGTCTCAACAGAAAAGATTTTTTTTAAATCCTCCAAAGAAAATAATTAACAAAATTAAGGTTTATTTTTTTTATAAGCATGATAGGCAGGAAAGAGAATTAGAATTAACAAACAAAGCTGACATTTTCCTCCCTGGAAGCTACAAAAGATGGCAGGCCCCTTAGGCTATACTTAACAGGGCAGTAGAGCTAAGGGGGTCTCCTCGCAAGCTTGGTGGCCTGTTTATACTGCTCTTAAAATACCAGACAAGTCCCTAAAAATCCTCAGCTCTCTTTCTCACTCAGGAGTTCATTTGATCATGAAGCCTCCATGACAATCAAAGATCATCCAGAAGGCTTAACAAGCTCATGATGCGTGTGCCAGGAGCAAAACCCTCTAGAACCACAACATCCCAGAATTGCATAAGCAGGCTGCCGGCCTGCTGGGGAAACCGGGAGGCATATGTGTGGGAGGGCCCTGTCTCGGGTGGATACAGAACAAAGGCTGAAAAGCAAAGGCATAAATAAGAACTAAGTAGAGAGAGGGCTGGAGTTAGAGGAACTGGGTGAAGAAAACGTTGCTTACGAACTGGAGTATGCAGCCAGTAGTCTGTCCACAGGCTGGGAAAAGCCTTTTCAAGCCAGTCTGTGTTTGCCAACACGCATTTATAGAATGTCTCTGCGAATGGCTTTAGGATGAGCAAAAGAATTTTAGAGGTGGAAAATATCTTTATAATAATAGTATAACTGTGTTACTGACTGATCAAGAGATATAAACACATCACCCACCAAGGGACTAGGACACAAACAGATTAGGCAGTGTTTAAGAATAGTTAGAACAGCTTTGAAGTCAACAAACCTCTCTTGATACCTACTGTGTGCCAGGCACGATTTTACACACTGCAGCTGTAACGGTGGAGGGAAAATACTACCAATAATTGATTAAAAAGTCTGGCTGCTGGGGATTTTGCGACATACTAGGAAGGTACGCATGTAACGGAGTGCTGAAGATACTGGAGACAGTCATTTCCTTGACTGGCCTCAGAAGGTAGTTTATGAGAGAATTAGAATCCATGTCATCTAATTCTGAAGGAATAATTTCCTTTTTGCTTCAGTTAGATCGTGATGATAGTGTAGAGAAAAATTAAATACTCTACCCTTACAAAGTTCACATTCTAAGCTGGACAGATGTGAAAGACACTGAGGACCGGAAACAGACGGAAAAGAGTCACGCATCTCAAACCACCAGGCATAGTCAAAATATGATTTTTTTTAAAGGTGCTGGACTTCTCCCTTCATTTGGGAACTGAAGTGGAAAATAAGAACGGGAGCTGCGGGGAAGAAGCAATCATTACAAGTAGACTAGCAAAAGTTTTTGGACAGCGGTTACCTCTGATGAGAACCCAGCTGAGGTACTCATGAGGCGTACCCTGGCAGTCTCGGTAAAAAAACACAGCTCTCACACTGGGTGGTGAGTTCATAGGGACCCTCGTTGTGAAGTGTAACTTTTTGTTACATTATAAACATGAGCAAAAGGAGAGAGTTAAAAGAAAGACCTTAGGGTATACCAGGAAGAAGGGAGAGAACTCTAGAGCACCAATGAATGGCAAGAGCAACCAAGGTCATGTAATATGACCCAAATGAAATAAAACAGTCATATTAAATGTGACAGACCTTAAGAAAAATAACTAAGAGGAAAACTCCACTGTCTTTACCTTCTCCCCACCTCCTCCGATAGGTTTCCAGGATCATGAGAGAGACAAGAAATGGGAGAGACCGCTAACTACAGCTTTGAAATTCTGAAAGGCCATTGATGGGCTGGGTCTGTCTTGTGCTTAGGTAGAACACCAACATGCCTTTTCTTCTCACTTCAACCTTCATTTCTTTTTACTGTGGTGAACAAAATCCAAATTCCTAGCATTCTAGCCAAGAGCTCTACTGCTGAGCTATAATCCCAACCCCCCAAATTTCATTTATTGACAGTGTTTGTGGTTCACTCAGTGATCCAAATAAGAAAAAGGGTGGGTGGATCCAGCTTTAACTATCACTTTGAGTGAAGATTCTCAAAGATTTACTTTGAGACAGATTCCTATCATCAGGCACCTCCACGCTGAGAGGCAATGTCCAGTCTGGATTAGTCAGATGACAAGCTCTGCCCTGCAAAATGTCCAGTGTGAGTTAGCCTCCCCCTCCCCCCAGGGCGATGAGCCTTCTCCCTCCACCAATCTAAGCTGCATCAAAATTCAGAGCTGAACCTTAAATTATTCTGCACTAGTGAGGGGGTTGCATTTCTTAGCCCTAATAACCACTTAAACTAGTAAAATTTAATTCCCTCAAGGCACCCATTCCGATAGAAGCCCTCCCCAAGGGTACCACTGTGGGGGCAGGAGCTGAAGTATTTTGGATGACTCAGTCACCTGTTTCCAAATATTATCTAACTAGCTTCGCCCCCTTCTCTCAGAGCTCTCCCGAAGGCTTCGTTCTGGGCACATAGGAGCCTCCCCAACTTGATAAACCGAAGTGTCCCTTTGTCCCCTATGCTTTAAGTGAAGGACCGTAGGTGGGTGGGGGATAAAGGCAGCTGACCGCCTAGCAGGACCTTCACCTTCACGCCAGGCCTAGGTAGGAAAAGACCAATTCTGACTCAAACCAGACCTTGAGAGGGATGGAGGGCCAAGATCCTGCAGAGGATCTGAAAGGGAAGGGTCCCGCATAGTCAGGTCACCTCACCTGCACTTCTGCTGGCTCGAACGATTATGAGCAGCAGCAGGCCATACACAGACCCCAGGGTAACCATGCTTGCGGAAATCCGTGTCAATGCGCCAGACTCAGGAAGAGGCCCTAGGCAGGGGCGGGGACGGGGGCGTGATCTCTGTGTGGTGGGCGGGGCCTGGGCGGGGCCAAATAGCGGGGCCCCACCCTCGAGTCTTCAGTACGCGAAACCATCCTCGGCAAGGAGCCGGCCCTCTCCTTCCCGGCCGCCGTAGTTAAAAAAATTAAAAAAAAAAAATAAAAAAAAAACGGTTACCCAGCAACGAGATAAAACAACTGGAACCATCCGCACCAGCTTGAAGAGAAAGAAGAGGTGAGGCAGTTTCCCCCCCATTCCCGCTCCAACGTGGAGGCTTCGCCTTTTCCGTCGTGTGGCCTAGTCTCTCGGCATCTCCGACACTCCCGCAACCCCTGGAGCGGATAGGGAGCCCGGAAAGCCCTTTCTTGGAGAATCTGGAACGTTAGGTCGTCGACGTCCCGCCCACGGTTTGACCCGTCTTCCCCTTCTACCACCCGCGCTTCCCCGCCCGGTTTAGGGCTTTTCACAGTCCTCAAAGATTCGGTATTTAATCTCCTGTTCCCGCCCACAAGAGAGAAGGAAGACTCTCCAAGGTTAGGCCTCGTTAAACCCAGCGCCCCTTTGTGCCTCTCAGGGTAAAGAACCCAATCCCGAAGCAGTCTTTACTCAGTGACCCAGCCCTCTCTTTGTCAGCCACCTTTCAGCCACCAGCTTCCTTGAATTACAAAATAGAAGGCCAGGCAAACACAGGAAATAAGACTTCACCAAACTTCAAAGGCTGGCTTCCAAAACCACGACCTCTTTCTCAGCCCTACCCTAGAATACCTAGAATACAGAGGTGCTTGAAGACTTTATAGGCCATGCTTCAGAAGTGGGGGCTGAAAAAGAAAGTGAAATTTTATTCAACAAATTATAATAATGCCTACAACCAAGACTAGTTTTTTTTGGGGGGTGCTTTTGGGGTTCCCCCTTGAGATAGGGTTTCTTTGTGTAACCCTGACTGTCCTGGGACTTCCTTTGTAGATTAGACTGGCCTCAAACTCGGAGATTTGCCCACCTGTCTCTCAATTACTTGGATCAAAGGAGTGCTCCCCTGTCCCCAGCTGACCAGGTTTTTGTTTGTTTGTTTTTTAATTTTAAACTTTAAACAGTTTCTTCTTAGCAATGTAAACGGCACTATATGAGCGTCCCAGCAACCACTGTCTCTTAAATATTGCCGGATAGCAAAAGCAACCTCACCTTTTAAGGACAGGAAGACAACGTACTTAATATCTAGGGAAAGCTGTGGCTCTCTAACTTTAAAAAGAATGATTTGTCTAAAGTAGTGGATCTTCATTTATAATACTATAATTCCCGGGCTGTGGTGTGACACACCTTTAATCCCACCACTTGGGAAACAGGACAGCCAGGGCTATGTAGAGACACCTTATCTCAAAAGGAAAAACAAAACAAAAATCCAGTGATTCGTGATAGAGTTAAAAACTCCAAAAGAAATGGGTAGACTTAGAAAAAAAATGAATTTTATTTTCATTTATTGAGTGTGAATGTCTGTATGGGTGCAACCCTGGGGACACAGCCTGCCTATGGAACTCGGAGAACAGTTTGTGGGAGTCAGTTCTCGCCTTCCACAATGTGGATTGCTGGGATTTCTTTCCAGGCTATCTTTACCGACTGAGGTAGTTCACCACCAGGCCTGGATTGTATGAACTTTTCTTTTTAAAGTCCAAAATGTGTGTGTCTGTGAAATAATTTGAGTTGTGTTGTGAGTTGGTTTGTTGTAGCTGTGATTATGTACTTTAAATTAGACACATTAAAATTAGATACTTTTAACTAAATCTTCAGGTACCATAGGCAATTCTTTCCAAGGAGATGTCGATTCCTTTCTCCAACACCCACTACCGAATTCCACAAGGATTTGGAAATCTTCTTGAAGGGCTGACACGGGAGATTCTGAGGGAGCAACCGGAGAATATACCAGCTTTTGCCGCAGCGTATTTTGAAAACCTTCTAGAAAAAAGAGAGAGTAAGCTCTTTTTTTAAAAAAAAATAGGAATTTTTAAATGAACTAAGCATTCTGTTATGGTAAAACTTACAATTGAAGAATATACCTGTCTTCAGCCTGTGATCTCCATACATATGCAAACACATGTTCACACACCCTCAACACACACACATGTACCCACACACATGGGAACACAAAAACATACACATACACAAAAAAGAGAACAATAACAACAACAAAAACTTAAGATCGTGTTCATTGTGCATTCTGCCTTTATGAGACAGGTTCTTGCTATTGGAAACAGTATGTACCGGTTCACTCCCCAGGCCACTCTCGCTGCCTTTCTCACATCCAGGGTGTTGAAGGAGGCAGGCCTGTTCCTATGCATCTCTGTTAGCTGACTGTCTGTTCTTCCTGGGAGGATAATTTGTGGCTTTCTTTAAATTTTGATTCCTCTCATTTGAAAGTATTATAAGTGTTATAAAAATATTTCAACACTCTTTAGATTAAGTAAATTAGTTTTTTCTGGGGTATATGAAACTGTTCTTCAACGAAGACACAGAAACAAACTGCTTTGGCAAGTGGATTGCCAGTTGGTGAAGGTAATTTACATTCTCTATGCTCTCCAGGTCCCTTCCTACATAGAGACTATGGTCCATGCTAATAGTGACTTTTTGATTTCAAGCCAAAGTGAAGTTTCTACATTCCCTTTCATAAAGACAATCTTCAGATCCCAGCCTTGAAGATTCATGACTATGAAGGTCTGGCCCAGTGGTCAAAGAGGACCATTACAATCATAACTTTGTACTGAAAACCTGTTCTTTGCCTGAAACAATCCTGTTATATAAGCTTTGTTATCTTTACTTTGGGCAAAGGAGACTAGAAATAGCCCCAAACAAACAGACATTCTTTTGTAAATCATTTTACAAAGAGAAGAAACCCAGAGCAAGGCAAAAATCAAAACAACTCCCGTACACACAAACAGCTCCTCCCCTGCCCATTATGATCCTGCCTTTGAAGAACTCAAAATTTCACCAATTTCCTGATTACTGACGATCTGTCCCATATCTAGTCAGGGTGCACAGCCTGCAACGTTAGTGGGGAAAGGCTATTAAACATGTTTGATTAAAAGTAGTAGTTTTATGAACACGAATTTTGTTATTATAACAGTAATTTCGCAAATTCATGCAGTAAAAATCTTTGGTCATTTGTTTAACTTTAGAACTCAGGAACATACCACTAAAATCATATTTGAGTCATTGTTACCAGGTCATAGTAATAAAAACGATGACGAATGACCTCAGAATGCAAGCTCTCTGATAAACAAATGACTAAAACCTTTGAAAAAATTTAACCACCACACCCACTTCCACCTATATCAACTACACATGAATTTCCAACTGACACAGGATAAGAATTTAGCCTTCCCAAGCAAAGGCAAAATAAACGATTGTGGGTTTCTCGTCCTGTCTCCCACATTGCAAGAATCCCTTGCCACCATTTTTCACAGATGGTTACTAGGCTTCATTTTTTTGTGATGGGAAACCTGTTAATATACAATGTAAGTGGTCTCTCCAATCAGTAGGGAAAATGAACTTCTTAAATGATGTGAGATAAAAATGGATAAACAAAATAGCATCAATTCTTTATGGCATGCATCCAGATAAATTATAACCTGACTCAAAATTTAAACATGAAAAAGAAACCATATAGATGCTAGGAGAAAACATCTTGCTTGCTAAGTTGCCTTCGTTGCTTCAAATCCAAATACAACGGGGGAACAGATTGATAGAACTGACAACATAAAAAGCAAACTTGTATGTGGCAAAGCACCATGAAGAGAACAAAAACGCAAATAGCAAACTGAGAAAAAATGCTTGCAATTTGCATACTAGTAAGTTAATAAACCTAATAAAGAGCTTGTAAAAATATTGTGTTGTAACATATGTATACCAGGAGATACCAACAAACAGTTCACATAGAGGTAAACACAGATAGCCCTTAACATGAAAATGTAGTCAGACTGGCCCATAGTAGCAATTCAAATCAAAATGTCACTCAGCTAAGAATGGAGAGATGGTATAGGGGTAAAGAGCACTTACTGCTTTTGCAGAGGACCCAAGTTCAGATAACAGTACCCACTTCTGGAGGCTCACAACTGCCTGTAACTACAGTTCCAGGGAGTCTGACTTCATCTTTGTTTCCATAGGCACACACACACACATAAAGAGAAATAGAAGAAATTATACTGAACTGCCATCAGCTACTCCTGCATCATACTGTCAGAAAGTCAAGACTTTGACAGTATGGTTTGTAGATACAGCTCAGAGAAATGAGCCCTTCTACCCATTCCTACTAAATATGTAATGTAAAATCTAAAGGAAAGGAATTTTGCAATATATGCCAAAATTCCATATTTGTTTAACCTGTAGCCCAGAAGTTGAACCTCTGCACTTTTCATTACAGCATTATGAAAACAACCCAAATATACATATTAGGTGTTTTGTTTTGCTTTTTAAAATTTTTGTGCTGGCAAAACAGTCTTTAACTAATACCTCAAATTGTGAACCAACGTAGACCTTACCTTTTTTTAAGTTATCACAGGTATTTGTGACAGTGATAAAAGCTGACTAATATGTAGAGTTATTCCAGAAACTTTGACCTGTATATTAAAGAATAAATCAAGCAAGTATGCTAGTCCTATTGGGAATAAAATTTGGAGTGTAAGAAGACATAATTTTATAGATAGTTTAATAAAACCATGTAATCTTGAATTTAGAAATAGCAATGTAATCTTTTCTCTTTTAAAATGGAAGCAGCTCAGAGAGTGAAGGCACCTGGTGAAAAGCAGAAGACTAGAGTTCAACTTCCAAGACCCACATTGTGGAAAGAACAGGCAGACTCCTGAAATTTGCCATCTGACTTCCAACCATGTGCCTGAAATTTGCCATCTGACTTCCAACCATGTGCCATAGCATGTCCGTGCCCATACATATATAGAGCATGCACTCACATACTCATGCATGTATGCACTATTTTAAAATGCGTTTTTTAATGGAAGTCATTTCTGGTAGATTTTGAAAACTCAAAATCATGACTAACCAAATGTTAGTGGACATCTATCCCCTATATTATCATCCCTGAATACCAATTCCCATGAGTCAGACTTGGCAGTCCTATACACATGGGATAAATATGTAAGACTAGGCTGGCCATCTTTCCATCCCAGGAAATAAGCTCCTAACAATTTCTAGGGATGCTAGCAAAGACCTGAGGAGCATCCAAACACCGGGATAAGTTACCACTAACCAGATTTTGGACAAAGAAAGAATTAAGAAAAAATAATAAAACTCCATGGACCAGAATTCACCCAGATTACTAAATATTTGTGAGATCATAATACTAAAATCAGTCACAGAATTCATCATTGTCAGGCTGCCCAGGAAAGTGCTGGGAGCCAGCTGGTTATTCAGAGAGCTGGTGAGGGAATCAAACCTGTAACCTTTTTTGTGAGAGCCATATTTCAGGGTAACCAAATGGTTGCCTGTTTTCTTTATTGAATCCACCCAAAAATAAGTACTGATTAATTTAGAACATTATCATTTTGTACCCCTAAACAAGTTAGGGAACACTCATATTCATCCCATAAAAAATTATTTAAAGGTTAGAGAGAGCAAGTTATGGCTTATCTTCTGAGATTAAGTAGCACTACCAATCAGTATTCTTGCCAAAACAATCAAATCTGAATCAGATGAAACCTGCAACTCTAACTACAGAGAATTTAAGGGCAAATGACGCTGTTAAAAGTCCCAGTGGAGTCAGAAATAACTGCACTGGAAAATTCCAAAGGAAAACTGGCCCAACTTCATCAACAAATAAATTGCACAGAAAAACAAGGTGGTGGTGGATTTTCCACTAAAAATTCTTTAAAAAGCATAACAAAAGGTAGTGTGTGTCCATTTTGAGGCTCTGATATGACCAAGATACCTAAGTATATTAAACATTGCAGACAGTTTTGGATAGTAGGCTAGATGCAGGATGATTGTAAGGAACTGTTAATATTTCAGATATGGTACATGCTTATATTTTAAAGACTATTTTAAAGTTACAAATTTAAATGTTTATAGATGGATTAATATGGTGTTTAGGGTTGACCGGAAAATAACCAGAAGAATATGTAGAGATAAAATGTTAAGCCATGAATTGGCCATTGTAGCCTTTAGGGAATGTGCCCATGAGGCTTGTCAGAACATCCTACTTTGGGAGTTTGAAAATCTTCATGACAGAAAATGAAATTATATTTGGCTAGAAATACGTCTTGTCTATGTTAATTGTCTACATAGTGTGTTTCATTTGAAAACCCTCCCTTATCTTTCACTTTTCCAGACTCCTTGATCCTTTAACCATATTTTGTATGTTTTTATGCAGTTGTTAATGCATGCTTTTGGTGTCTGTTCACTTGAATATTGGCATTTGTTCTTTCTTTACCATTTTCTTGTGAGTAAATGTCCCTAAAGGATCACTCAGTGTTAAACTAGTCATCATATATTTAATAATTGTTTATGCCTGCAGCCCTGGGCTGTTCAATGCCAGTAAGATTTTCAGCTATCAGTAAAGAACCTATGATTTGAAACAAGAAACCTGTATTCCTGTATTGTTCTAGATTCACTGTAACGAACACAAAATAAATATAAAAATATTTTGTTATTTAGAAACCAACTTTGATCCAGCAGAATGGGGGGCTAAGCTAGAGGACCGCTTCTATAACAACCACGCATTCAAGGTATAGTCTATGAAGCTACCAGATTTGGCTATTGTCTCCCCCAACTTTGAGAAGAGTGTCAAGCTTTATTAATATCTTAATAAAACTTTTTTATTATGAGAGATAATCTTCTAAACTATCTGAATTGAATACTGATACTTAGCATAAATTTAAAGATGACCAATAGGAGAAAGAGCATGGTATCACAGAATTACTCTCATCTCTTATTCTTTAAACTTTATTGAGCATCATAAGTCATAAATTATATTTCATAAAATAAAACACTATTAGTCCAACTTTTCCATTTGCATGTTTGCAAATGGAAAAAGACTCATTTGAATTAAATATGATCGTGCATGCCTTTGATCTTGAGACTCAGAGGCAGAGGCAGGTAGATCTCTGAGTTCGAGGCCAACCTGTTCTGCCAAGCAAGTTCTAGGACAGCCAGGGCTACACAGAGAAACCCTGTCTTGAAACAGCAGCAACAACAACAAATGACAATAAATTAAATTGTTTTAGAATACTACTCTAGACAGCTGAAGAAACACCATTTTCTCTTTTGTTACTCTGACAGAGATTTTAGAGATTGACAAAGTTCAGGCTTTAATGTACTCCAATAGATTTGCAAAATATTTTTGTAGAAGCTGTTACTTTTCATTCAGAAGTAAATTTCTATCCATTTATACCTGCTTTGTGTGAGTCTGTTGCTTTTATTTGTAGTTTAACCACGATTATCTATACGCATGAGTTTTTGGTTTGTTCGTTTATGTTTTTTACTTAAATCAAAGAGATAATATTGAAAATGTTATGTCCTTGTGTCACATAGAAAATTCAAGGAGTTTCTTTTATTTTGGGTTTTTATGGTTTTATGTTATTTATTTATTTATTTATTTATCCTCAATTTTCCATGTTCTATGTTAGACTCTCTTCCTGAAGGCAGTGAGTTAGCAGTGCTTCTGTTTGGCAGAAGACTGGACTAGTCATGTCAGAACAGACTGAGCTGGCTCCTCCTTTATGCTTATATCTTTTTCCAAAGTGAAACTCACTTTTTTGATTTAATATATTATTGTATGTTAATTGTATAAAATAATGGCTAACATCTTCATGTATGCACATAAGGTGATCATATTCATCCTCTATTACCTTCTCTTCCCAAATCCCCTTCTCTTCTGTAATACTGACTTAGTTTTTAACTTGTAATTTTCATTAAAAAGTCAACCTGGCTTCATAGTATAGAATACAATGACTTTTATTTTATTACTATTGTAGAAACTATAAACTGTTTACTATCCTCAAGATTTATTACCAAAAATCAATTTTTAGTCTGAGATGATGGTTTATACCTTGAGTTTTTGTTCACTTCTTTTCTTCCAAGACAAAGTATTATTTAAATATACATATAATATTATATATATATCTTTAATTCCCAAATGCTTCTCAATACCTTAACTTGAAGTTTCTCTTATGCAGTATGGTCCAGAGTTTTCTATCTTCAAAACAGTAACTATGTGGCCCTCTCGTCTCTTTCTAGGACCAAGAACAAACTGAGAAATGTAAAGAAGAAATGGCCAAATCATCTGCTAATGAAGAAACATCAGTTACGGCCTTTGTATGTAGTATTTTTCATTTACTTATGTATTGCTATCCAAAATGGCATCGATGAGTTTAAAGTTGTGCACAAAATATATATCAACACACTTTTTGAAATTAAAATCATGCTTTCTAGATGATTAACATTGGTGATAAACTAGCAGATTATTCTCATAAATGCATTCTTCCCTTTAAAAAATCTAGATCAGAAAATCTTTCCATGGAAGAGGCAATTACCTTGGAACCACCTCTCATCTTTCATATTAATATTCTACTTTGGGAATTTTTCCACTACTTGTTGCCATTGCCACCACACAAAGGCAAAGGTTAGAGATAACTAAAAGAAAACAGTTACATACCACCAAATAAAATGCCTTACATGGTATGGCTTACTCATACTTCCTGCAAGGTCTTCTATAGAAATACTTTCCTGCCTTGATAGTCTAAGTCCAAACCACCTACACACAGGAAAATCCAACCTCAAAAAGACTACCTATTTCTATTCAGTGGTGTGCTAAAGCCATTACTTGGAGATAATTGTGTACAATGCAATAAACATCATTTTGATAACTTAAAATACTAAAAGTATTGAGACCAAGGTAAACACTACAAACCAGAGTTTTGGTGGTATTTTAGGAAGGCAATGTTGTTTGTTATTTCCCTGTAGAGCCAGTTAAACATTTACCAGAACATTATTACCTGTATTCTTCATAGTCCAAACTAATTTTAAAAAAAAAAAAGGCTTTGCCTGGTGGTGGTGGTGGTGGTGGTGGTGGCTGCAGTGCACGCCTTTAATCTCTGTGAGTTCAAGGCCAGCCTGGTTTACAGAGTTAGTTCTGGGATGGACAAGGCTGCATAATGTAACCCCATCTTTTAAAAAAGGGAAAAAGAAAAGCAAGGTTTTGCGTAAAAGAATTCATTCTGTACAATGTCAGAGTTCAAACCTTTGAGTTCTGTTTCATGTCCTAGTATCTCAGCAATATTGATACCTAAAATGAATATGCGCCTCAGGGGTCCTTGACTTTACACCAACCTTTCCTTACACTATTTAACTAATCTAGAATAATACTACTACAATTTAAATGATCTAACAGTGGCATCCGACGTAATAGGGATTCAGGGAATATAGAAAGACAGAGCCATTTCCTTACTTCCCTTGTAGATTCTCTTTTATACGCTACTACAAGTTTGTGTTATGGTCCCATTGATTTTTAACTTAAGAGTAATTCACTTGCCCATATTGGAGAATCACCTCAAAGAATTTTATGCCTGTCTATTTGTATTTAAAAGTTTAATAGCTAAACTTAACTCAATTTGAAATATAAAATAGCATGAATAGCTTTGAATAGCTCAAAGGTCCATCAATAGTTGACTGAATAATAAATTTCAGTACAATGGAACACAATGTCCATGTCCCTCCCATTAAAACTGAACAAAATTATATTTGAAATAATAGCATAGAAGAAAGAGCCCAGATATCTTGTTTCATGGGGAAAGTAGCTGTAGAGCACTCCAATTAGCATGGTCTTGTTTTAAACTGAAAAACAAATGTGTCTTCATGTAAATGGAATCACAGAGAAATTTTATAAGGATGTATAAACATACACAAATACACACAGAGACACACAACCTACAATAAAGGGTACTTTTTAGGAGCAAGATTTGAGGAGGTGAAAATGTTTCAACTTGTACTACAAGTGATAACTTGAGGATTTTTTAAATGTGTACTTATCATTTCTGTAGCTTAAAAAAGATATATTGAGGGCCATATTTTTTTCAGTTCTACATTTAGGACCCATGAATTTTGCCATCTGCAAATTATACCTAAATTTAAAAGAAAAAGAAGAAACTATGTCACTGTTTAACCAACTCTGATAAGTCCAATTTACTAATAGTAAATTGACTTTCTCTTTGGTGCTCCACCTCTAAATGTGTGGTTTTAATTGTCTAAACATTTAGAAATTAGAATTAACATTTATCAGTTTTGTATAATCACAGTTATTTCAAAATAGCACATATGCTGGTGTTAACACAGAACAGTACTTACTGCCATAATTCTTGCTTCCCCACCCTAAACACAAGATTATTTCCAGGAAACATTAAATAGGTGCTGTCTGGAAACAAGAGAATAGAAGTTGGCAACGATCTTGTATTAAGACATATTGAAGAGTAGCAAGCTGAATGTCTACTCTTTTGGCATTTAGCCTTTGGTACACACACAGTGTGTGACAATGTATAAAATCCCCCAGGAAGCAACAGACTTCAGATAGTTGCATCTGTAATTGGTTAAATCTATACATTCCTTTCAATGGCATCTAAGAGGCAGCATTCTGGAAAAAAGGGTCTCACTTTCTCTTCTTTCAATGAAGGAGGAGTTAACTGAGGAAGAAAGAGAAAAGGAGGAGTTTGCTGCTCTCAAAATCCAATCCGTCTTCCGGGGACATGTGGCCAGAGAAGAGGTAAAGAAAATGAAGTCAGATAAAAGTGAAGAGAAAGGAGAGGAAGCCAAGTGAGGATACTGGCTTTACC